GGGGGTACTTCTTGCAGACAGTTCTGCCTGACGATGCCTTTTTGGGGCCTTGGAAAAAATCTGCTCATAATCTTTGGGTCAACAGGTTACGACGATCTTCGAGTTTGGCAGAGTTTTTGCAGGTGATGAAATTGCATCTCTGTTCTTTTGTCTTTAATTATTGCTGGTTCACTTATCTAAAGGCTCATACTTATATTTTCTCATCTGCTTTTACAAATTCTTTAGGTTCTAGCTGATTTTATCAGTGCTATTAACGAGGACTGGTTTTATCAATTAAATGACGAGGACTGGTTTTATCAATTAAATGACGAGCTGCATTTAAATTGTCTTCTGGATGAAATATTTGCAAGCTTCCCATCCATGCCACAAACATCATCTGCAGTTGCACTTTGGTTGGTAAAATTGGATTTGTTGGTTGCCCCTTACATTGGAAGAGTTCAGTCTCAAAATAAAGCTCGATCTGTTGGCTGATTGAAAGGTAAATAGATTCATTAATCTGAGTTCAATGTGAATATAACTTTCTTTTGCAATATCACCCCCTACAAATTTTGGGATTTTTAGTTTTAACCTGATGCAGGTTTAAATTTAAGAGCATTATATTCTTATGGATTTGATTTGATGTTATAGTGTACAAGTAGATGTCATTGTCTTCTCATGTCTTTTTGTTCTCAGTTATATTTACTGCTGTGCTAGCTAATTATGGATCTCCCATCTAATTCCAACTATTCATTTGAACTCACTAATTTGAATACAAAGGCCCAATTTACTTGCATAATTAAAAGATGTGAGATTCTAGATAGGTAACTCGCTAAATATTTGAATTGACCTTGTTTCATATGTAACGCTATCTTGTTTTCATGTTTTAAATGTCCACGACTCTAAATTCTGATTATAGTTTTTCATTATATTGATTTGTACGCTTATATATTCTTATATGTATCAAGACTAAATTGGATCTTAATAGTGCAAGATACAAGATAGAAACCTGTACAGCTGAGTTGAAGCAAAAGAAGACCTGTAATTTCAACTGGATGTTTGCATGTAATAAGGAAGTGCAAAATCAGTATAATATACCAACTTTTGCTGCACGTACTTATGAGGAACTAGAAAGTTGTCCATAAAGGTTTCATATAAATCGTCTTTGTGAAGATAAAGTAGGAACCAACATTTTCCATTCTATTTCTCCGTTTATGTTAATGCACTAAAATGTTCTTTGACATCAGGTACGTCAGTCCTAATCAATGCACAATTTCCTGGAGAATCGATGATAAAGAGAAGTATATGCATCGGCTCTTCATACTCTCTACTTCCTGAGGTAGCAAAATCTCAGTCATCACCATACAATCTAGTTGACGGTTATAAGGTGAAATTTGCGAACTTTCTTTTTATTCTTTGTAAAAAGAGTAAAACATGCATATGATAGTTTCAGACCTAATTCCAAAGTCACACCTCCTTTTACATGTCACTCAGTCTCTACTCATTTTTGTCTATTGATGCACTCTAGTCGAGTTCTTGTTGATGTACAGCGGTTTTTGATAGGTTTCCTCTTTCTTTGCCCCATAATCTCAATTTTGTTACTTAGGCATTAGCCTGTGATTGTTTCCCAATAGCAGGTTGAAATTTTGTTTCTTGTATGTAAGAACTCACTGTAAAATAAATAAAATCGTATTTGTTACTGTTTATCAATATTTTGATGGTTTGGGGTCTGGTAGGGCATTTTCATTCCCATCTCACTTTGTTTAATCATTAGAGCGAGTTCTTGGATGTATTGAACAAAATTAGTTGAACATGTCCAACTAAGGGGCTATTTAGCTGGGCTTCTACTACTTGAGAAAGACATTTTAGATCTTTCTTTATCTTTTTCTTTTTTTTCTTAAATGGTTCTTCTTGTTGGGTAAAGCATATTCAGAATGTTACGTATTTACATATTTAAAAGCAGTTAAAAATAAAAAAATAAAAAAATTTGACTTTTCAGAAATTTTGCCAAATGGTCTCATTGCTACAATTTTCCGTATATCTGACATGATTTGATATTGCAAGTTTTAATTAAAATGGTTAGAAGGTGTAATTTTCACTTAAAGGGATAATGATTTTAAGAGGACTTACAAATAACTTATGCAGGTTAAGAAATAATTGAATACCATTAGAAAAGGGGTTATGCTGCCGCGACATCATGGTTTACCCCCTATTGTACATAATGGTTTAGTGGCATTTCAATGATTTCATCATTGACGAGTGAAAAAGCAGTTTTTTTTAATTAATCAATGATGAAATGTCACTTGAGCATTAATGTATATCAAGGTATAAGCCTTGATGTACATGTAGAATAATCTTAAGGGTGTTGTAAATATAACTTTCCTTGAAGCATAAATTTGTTGCTAAAAATATTGACTGCAATGGTAAAAAGGTTGCTCCATAAATTATTTTTGAAATGCGTTAAACTGCAAATACAATTAAAAACAATTAAGTTATTATAATAAAAAATCAAAGAGGAAGGCTTGTGCCGTAACTTTGCCGAGGCACCATCCCATCTAGTAGGGTTTGAAAGGCAAGAATTTACAGGATGTCATTTGTTTGACGAAAAATAAAAAGGAATATTGAAAATTCAAGTAGCTGAAACTGAATAGTTACTTTCGAAGTAACAAAAAGAAAAGTATCTAACAATAATCTTATTTTTGCCTGGGTATTTTGATCAAAGAAAAATTGAAATCGCATGCTTCAACCAATGTATCCTTGTCAATCATTTAATTAAACAAATGGCATTGGTTATAATTGTGCAACTATAAAGAATATTAGAATAGGAAAGATATTAGATGTGTGGGTTTAATATATTTGCACTTTTTCTAGGTCGTGGTTTGATTTTGGACAGTAATTCGCACTTTAAGGGGGAAACACATTATATCACGTATCATTCTTGTTTTTGTTTTTTCGTGTCGTGTTATTAATTGCTCTTGATAGTGTGGATTATATTCATATAATTCATAACAATTGATACTAAAGCATTTAATTCAGTTAAGAGCAATGGCCAAAGAAGATGGAGTTGTGCAGTGTGGTTTGATAGGCCAATTTGCACTATAGAGGATGCAAATTGATGTCAATCCATACGGACTAAAAGATGCATCAATCTCTCATTGGAAAAAGTACAATTGGATGATTAAAAACTCTTTGATCGACGTGAGTTAATGTCCATATAAAGTGATAATGGATAAAATTAAACAGAGAGCGTTTGTGTTTGACAAGTATGAGAAGCTTTATGTGAGTAATAAGGACTACATTATGATGAGATGAACTTCCAATTGTCCCATTAGACATAAGTTGAGAAAAAAACTATGGAAGGAAAGAAAGCGTTGCTAAAAAATTAGTTTGCCGTATGAGAGGAGCACGATCGTTCACAATAATAAAGCGATAAATACCCCTCAGCCCCATTCACAGAGCTCACTCTCTCGCACGCTTCGAAGAAGTATATTATTAATTTGAATTATAATCCCAATTTTTTAATCAACGAGCATCGCTTTCCATTTCCATGGCAACGGCTTGCGAAGGAGGAACCACAACCAACACAGACGCCATCGCTTCCTCTTACGACGGCGAAGGAGGAGAAAGGGTGGGAGGAAAGTTCCGCAAGAGGCCGTTCCGTAGAGCCCACCGTTCGAAGCCGTACGATCGCCCCCTCACTGCTCTCCGAGGAACTACCACCGGCGCCACCAACAATGGCAACTCTAGCTGTTCGAATAAGCTCGTGGTGGACCCGGCCTCC